CTGACTGCATGAGAAGATGCTAATACTGTTGTACTCCACAGACCATTGAGTGTATTTATCTGGCAGCCCGCTGTGAAGAGACACGTAGTGAATGTGTAACCGACTGCTTTGCAGAGAAGAGGACTACGTGCCTGCATACTCACACCTGACTGCTTTGCAGTGGAGACCTCTAGCCGTAAGTTCTCTGTCTAGGAAGAAGAAGAGGCTTATGTGCTAAAACGAGGATTGTGTGTTTGTATGCCAGAAGATTACGTACCTGTATACTCACCTGTCTGCTTTGCAGTAAAACGCCAGCCGCTCTGTGTCTGCTGGCCCCGCCAATGAAAAGAAGTATGTACTTGCATACTCACCTGTCTGCTTTGCAGTAAAACGCCAGCCGCTCTGTGTCTGCTGACCCCGCCAGTGAAGAGAAGTACGTACTCGCATACTCACTGACTGCTTTGCAGTGAAGAGGACTACGTGCCTGTATACTCACACCTGACTGCTTTGCAGTGGAGACCTCTAGCCGTAAGTTCTCTGTCTGTCTAGGAAGAAAAAGAAGATTATGTGCTAAGACGAGGATTGTGTTTGTATGCCAGAGGATTACGTGCCTGTATACTCACCTGTCTGCTTTGCAGTAAAACGCCAGCCGCTCTGTCTGACCCCGCCAGTGAAGGGAAGTACGTACTTGCATACTCACCGACTGCTTTGCAGTGAAGAGGACTACGTGCCTGTATACTCACACCTGACTGCTTTGCAGTGGAGACCTCTAGCCTAAAACGTCAGCCGCTCTGTACCTTCTGACCCCGCCAGTGTAGAGAACGAGACCTCCAGCCCGAGGCTTCCTGCAGCAAGTTCGCGACCACCAGCCTGCAACGAAACGGATAAGTGCTGTAAATTCCCCCTGGTTGACCCCTGGAGAAAGTGACACAAAGCAGCCCTGACCCTGCCCTCTTTTAAAGATCTTTTTTATAATTAATAAAAACTTGGTTTTAATTGATTCCCTCCTTGTCTGTCCTCCTTGACTTGACTTGACTTGACTTGACAAACTTTATTGTCATTCATAATACAACAAGTGTATACAGAACGAAATTTCGTTTGCATAGGCCACAGTTTTTAGCAGTTTCAATGCAGCATAAGTAAATGTGCATCCCCTAAATAATTTACTATCAAAATATCTAGCTCCATATCTGACAGCAGTCAAAGTATAAGACAGCTTATTTATCAGTGTTCAACAGTCTGATGGCTTGGGGGACAAAGCTGTTATAAAACCTGGAGGTCCGACACCGCATACTGCGGAACCTCCTTCCGGAGGGCAGTAAACTAAATAGACTGTACAAAATAGGGGATGATAGGGGTCCCTGCAGATTTTCCTGGCCCGAGCTACACAGCGGTTCTCTGAAATGTCCTGAATGGAGGGGAGAGAGACTCCGATGATTCTCTCTGCTGTTCTCACCACCCTTCCATCATCCTTCCAGTCAGAGGCACTGCAGCCTCCACACCACACTGAGATGCAGCTGGTCAAGATGCTCTCTATGGTGCTTATATAGAAAGTGGTGAGGACAGGCGGGGGCAGATGAGCTCCCCTCATCCTCCGTAGGAAGTATCCATCCTCCGTCAGACTCCCCAAGAGTGGTGCGGGTCTCGAGGGGCGGGTGCTGGTCAATTTGGCCCACCTCGACCTGTGACAGTATTATTGGGTGCTACGAATGTCTATCCAATGCGCCTGTACGTAGCTCATAGCCAATCAGTTCAATGATACCAGATGACGTATGATACAGTGAGAATGAATAAAATTGCACTGCGGCAAGGCAATATGGGGAAACCCAGGCTAATTATTGCATGACCATGAGAAGGCTAATACAATGCATTCAATTTCCAATTCAACATTCATTGAGAATATATCTTCACGTCCGCTGCCATGATGGATCCATAGATATAAACAAACTACTTTGGTGTGTCGCCTTTACGTCGTCATCATCTTGCTGCTCCCTCCCTGTTCCGTGATTGGTTCCCTATCTCAGGTGAAAATCTGGTTCATGGTGTCCAGGCTGCCAAGCAGTGTGGATAATATCCCGCTGCGGCAAGACAGTATGGGGAAACCCAGGCTACTGAGAACAGATCTGCAAAGTTTCTTGATAGCAAAACTGAAAACTGGATTAATGATCCAAATATGTACAATTCAAACATCTACCACTATCTCGTGGCACCAAGTAGCCTATTATTATTTTTTTGTCATTAACACTCACAGTATGACAAACTAGACAGTGAGGCCATTTCACTTAGATCATATTTAACTTGATTTAAGCTATTAACATAGTTTTGTTGTCGACTATCTATACTAGTTAGAAAGACGAAGCTGCTCACCAGGCACTAAGGGTGTCACGATTTCTATTTTAAATTGAAATTAATCGAAATTAATTTACAATCTCAAACGTTGAATTAAAAAATGGAATCGCCGATGCTGCCACGCCCCCATGTCATGTCCGTTTGGCTTGCCAAGCAGAAAAAACACGCGTGTTGAAGTGCTGCGAGTCAATGGTCAACCTCCTCTAACTTAGCTACAGCCATTCAAAAGAGCATGGCAACTGCAGATGCAGGAGACCCATCAACAGAACTTGAACCCCCCCCTCCCCCTCCTCTTCTTTCATTGAAGTCACAGGTGTGGAAGTTTTTTGGATTTCCAGTGAGTTATGTTGAAAACGTTCGTGCTTCAAAAAAGCCACAGTTTGCAGACATCCCAAGTCTCGTGGAAGTTCCGGGATTCTCCCGCATATTGATAGCGGCTCCCAGATGCCCGCAAATTAGTTCAAATCTCCCGGAATCTAAAGTGAGCGAGCAAGAGCGAGAGTGGATGCCGAGACTGAAAAAACTGCTCCAAACCGTATTGTGTGCATGGCAGAGAGTGAGAGACCTTGCGTGTGTGCCTCATGAAGTGCATGAAGACAGAGAGCATTCTGATTGGCCGCTTGATAAAAATCGAGAATCGAATCGAACCGTGACCTTAGAATCGAAAATGTAATCGAATTGAGGATTTGGAGAATCATGAGACCCCTACTAGGTATGCTACATTAGCTGTTAAATCAGTAGTTCACTTTTTAAAAAATCTTTGCTGATAATTTACTCACCCCCATGTCATCCAAGATGACCGTGTCTTTCTTTCTTCAGTCGAAAAGAAATTAAGGTTTTTGATGAAAACATTCCAGGATTTTTCTCTACATGATGGACTGAGTGCCAAACGGTTCAAGGACCAAATGAGAGTTTCAGTGCAGCTTCAAAGGGCTTTAAACGACACCAGACAATGAATAAGGGTCTTATCAAGCGAAACGATCGTCATTGTAAAAATAAATAAAAAAGTTTAAGTCTTATAAGCACAAATGCTCGCCTTGCTCTGTTCTGTGATGCGTGTTTGTGACTCTCCTGTTCGAACTCGTTCATCAAAATGAACCAATCGTTTCACTAGATAAGACCCTTATTCATCGTCTGGTGTCGTTTAAAGTCCTTTGAAGCTGCACTGAAACTGTCATTTGGACCTTGAACCGTTTGGCATCCAATGAAGTCCATTATGTGAAGAAAAATCCGGGAATGTTTTCATCAAAAATTTTAATTTCTTTTCGACTGGAGTGAACTACTAGCACTAAAGTGGACTTGGCTGGTTTCTGCTGGTGTCTAGAAAGTGCTTTAGGCCTGTATGACTTTTCGACGACTACTGCTCTGGGCTAGATATAACAACATGAACAGCAGTAGATCAAGCCTTCTAGATAGGATAGCGTAATGTCACACTCACAACATCCAATTTGATAGCCCATACATACACATACACTGGTCCTATACATATTTTGTATACAAATATTTTATACAACTTTCAAAGTCCTAGCACTTTCTAGACACAAGCAGAAACCAGCCAAGTCCACTCTAGTCTAGCCTGCCACTATTTCAACAGTAACTTATAGTCGACAACAAAACTATGTTAATAGCTTTAATAAAGTTACATATGATCCAAGTGACATGGCCTCATCATAGTTTGTCATACTGTGAGTGTTAATGACAAAACAATTAAAATAAATAGGCTACTTACTTGGTCATTCCACGAGATAGTGAGAGATGTCTGAATAGTCCATATTTGGCCATTGCGTGGGGTCAGTAATCCAGTTTTCGACCAGTTTAAAGGGACTCGGACTTAAATACCGGTCCTCGGCCGGCAAAGAGAGTGTGAGTGTGTGAGAAGTTTATGCCATTTTTGCGATCAAGAAACTTGATCTAGAGCGAGTTCTGTTCTCAGGGGAATCCGTTTGTTTTCCCCCAAAAGGGGACGTTACCCTTCGATGACGCAAGAGTAGCATTAGTCTATCTACTATTTATATTCAGCTAAGGCAAACCGAGAGGTTTACATCGATACTAAGAAATGTGTGTTTGGCACATACAACAACAGATTTGTTCCACTTCTCGAATTTTCCTATATCTTGAATATAGGCATTTAGAGTTCAACTAACGCAACTAGAAAATAATAACTATAACGTATCATATACTATACAGTTGGCAATGGCTCAAGAGTTTAATGAATGTCTGTGTATGTGTGTGTGTGTGTGTGTGTGTCTTCTGACATGCAGAGGTCTCATACCAAAAATATTTATGGTGTGACCTATGCATATGTTGTAGAATTCATTGAAAAGAAAATCACTCGTCTGTAAGAAGTGCAAACTGACATTGAATTGACGTGTAATTGCTATCTGGGTGTATACTCTGTACTCTGTAAAGTCGTTAAAGAAATGTGAAAGACAGGTTTATTTGCTTGGAATAATATAAAGAGGTTCATAAAAGATATGACCTATAAATGTTTTCTAGCAAAACTGAAGCACAAGCTGATCTCATTTTCCATAAATCATGCTGTCTGCTGATTGAACACTGGAATAGTAGGCCTCGCTGTCTCAAGTCGCAGCATAAACATTTTTTTATTTTCCATTTAACTGAAACCGGAACGGCTAGCATCTCGTATTTCTTGCTTTCTTAGTTCAGGAATCTCTGGGCTGTTAAAGCTTTCCTTGGAAATGGACTTCAACAATAGGGTGCTATTTCAAATGGATTTCCAGAGAAATGTTTTTAAATTGCCCTCTTTTAAAAGAGGCACTAAAAGTCAACTTGCCGCACATGTACTTAGAACAACTTAAGCAAAAAGATCCTGGATCTGAGCGACAGGCCATTCCCGCTGCTAACATGAAGGCTGTTGTGATCGTTTTCCTTGTTGTAGTAAGTACCAAAGTGATTTTTAAATATATTCTCAGTTCAGTAACACAGTTTTCAATCAAATTAAATCTTTTACACATTTTCTAAAAACTAATAGGCCTACTTAATATTAAATTTACTTCTCTGAAAACCTATAGATTTAAAGAGATAACTCTGACTAGTTTTATAATGTTCAAGCAGAGGTATTTTTCTGCTTTATTCTACTTGAATTATTGGATATTTACATATTTTATCATTTAAAAGTTTAAAACAACACAATTCAAAACTGTGTTAATTTAGTATCATTGAAATACAATAGGCTATTATAGTTTTCTGTAAAATTTTTAATTGTTTTTTGTTTTTATATGTCAAGTTTTCATTTTCATTTTAGATAACATTTTAGTTAGTTCTTTTTTTTTAGTTTTTTTTATTAGTTAAAAAAATCTCTGTATTTGTATTTATTTTTCATTTCAGTTTTATATGAAGAGTTTAGATGCAAAAGCCTCTAAATACCATAATTTTCTTCTAAAATGACCATTTTTATCAAGCTTGTATATTTAAGTTCAGTAATTTCACTTAAATGGCAATGAAGATTACCTATTAATTGTCATTTAAGTGAAATTACTGAACTTAAATATACAAGCTTGATAAAAATTGTCATTTTAGAAGAAAATTTCAAATGGCATTTAGAGGCTTTTGCATCTGAACTCTTCATATATTTTCCTACTAAATGAAAATAAAGATGTTTGCCTTGGCAAATAGATTTTGGTTTTCGTATATTTTATTTTATTTAAGCTAACATTCATTTTATTTAAAGTTACAAAAAAAATATAAGCCTATACAGTAGTTTTGGTTTTAGTTACTAAATATAAAAACCCAATTTCAGACATGCTTACGTGATATAGGGGGCACTATAAACTGGTAACGATTATAAGATATGGAAAGAATGATGAAATTATTTGAGAAAAGCTTTCCAAATAATTTGTTCAAATCTTGTACAAACAATCGAATTATTGGCTAAGTTTCATCACAACCGCTTGAACAGGTTAGCTAACAGGTATATATATAAAAAATAGGTCCCACTTTATATTAAGTGGATTTAAGTACTATGTACTTACATTGAAAAATAAGTATAATGTACTTATTGTGCTCATGTTGTATTGTAAAACACTTTTGCTGCTATTGAGGGTAAGGTTAGGGAAAGTTGTCGTGGTATGGGTAGGTTTAAGGGTAGGTTAAAGTGTAAGGGATGGGTCAGCTGTGTAATTACAGATGTAATTACATAGTTACAGCTGTAATTACATGCTTGTATTTTTAAAATATAAGTACAGTGTAAAAACATGTATGTACACAATAAGTCCATTGCAATTATTCGTTTCAATGTAAGTACATGGTACTTAAAGCCACTTAATATAAAGTGGGACCAAAAAATATTATTATTTTGAAATAATAATTTGTGTAATATTTTCTTTTCCAGAGTGTCTTTATTCAGTGTGCAACTGCATCCAAACAAAACATACGCAAAAAGCGAGCCTGGGTTCTGCATTCACTCTCCATGGAAGAGGAGCATATTGGGCCTTTCCCATATAAACTGGGAGATGTAAGTGATATTTGACACTTTCTGTAGTAATCAGCCACTTTATCGCAAAGTATCAACTGATAAGCAACTAATTAGCCCAGATTTCAAACTTTTTAGTTTGTGCTTTGAATGTTTACACCTTTTTTTCTCTTAGTTAAATACTGAGAAGAGAGTAATGGAGGAATACTTCATCCATGGACAGGGCATTGACAAAGAGCCCAAGGGAATTATCTCTGTCAATTCCAACGGATCGGTTTATGCTCTTGGAAAAGTTGACTATGAGGAGTATAGGAGGCTAACAGTAAGTCTAAGGCCCCGTCCACACTACTGCGTTTTTGTTTAAAAACGGAGACCTTTTGCTACGTTTGCACCTCCCGTCCACACTAAAACGGGAAAAACGAAGACCTAAAACGGAGAAGTTTAGAAACGCTGCAGCTGCGTTTTACGTTTTGAATCTCCGGAGGGCGTTTTAGTGTGGACGAGACAAAACGGAGGAGTTTACAAACGATGACGCAGAGGCTCACGCTCGGCTCTATGATTGGGTGTTATCAGTCATGACGTATACTTCCCTGATTCGCCAACCACTGTTTACACCGGCGCGCGCATGCCCAGTGTTGGTGAATGGTCACGTGATCTGCGTTTTCAGTCGTTTTAATGTGGACGGAGATCAATTCTAATACGCAGACAAAACGCTGGTGTGGACGGAGATCGTATTCGTTTTAATTCTCCGTTTTTAAACGAAAACTAGATCTAGTTCTAAGAATAGCAGAGTCCACAACTATAATGATAACGGCACTGTTGCAGTCGTTTTCAGAATATAAAAAACATTGACAGCCAATCAGAATCCATCCTGCTGTAACGAGCTCAAGTATTTAAAGCAACAGATGGCAAGCAGCTGTGGACGCTAATATAGTCATTGTTATAGTTATCTTCATAGATATCGTTATAGGTGTGAAAGGTCCGTAACAATAGTGATGTGCCTTGTTAAATTCATTCATTTAATATTTAATTAATACTTACTGTTATTTTGACTTGCAGATCAGACTAACTAATGAAAACACAAACATTGCCATAGACATTGAGATTCAGGATGTCAATGACCACGCTCCTGTTTTCAATCACGAAGTGTATGAAACCACAATAGATGAATCCACACCACAAGGTACTGATACACAAAATGTGTTTAAACCAACTGGTTTACTAGCTGCACATTTCCCTTGATCATCTCTGTTTTGTCTTATCCGAAGGAGAGCATTTGGTCACAGTACTGGCAACCGACAATGACCCGTTAGGCTCAGTGAACTCGTTGTTTACTCTGAGAATCGTTTCAGTCTCTCCCCAAACCTCCAATACCGAGTTCTTCATTCATCAACCTGAGGCAGACATGATAGGGAAGATATCTTTCAAGGGATGCCTGGATTATGAGGTATAATCATACACAGTTTCTCTCCTGTTGCACAAGTAATTGATTATTTAACGTAGATTCATGCTCTGGGGTGCGTATAAACAGTATTAAAGGAGTTAATAATAGCCTTATGGTATCAAAAGGTCAAAGATCATGTGATGCATAAGGCCAATCAGGCATGTCCAAACTTTTAGTATTCAACTTTACTATGCTTGTTTCATTGTAGGAGACCAACAAATACACTATTCTGGTTGAAGCAAAGGACCATGGGGAGAAGGTGCAACTCTCCAGTACAAGCACTGTGATACTCAATATTATCGACAAAAACAACCATATACCAGAATTCACTGGGGCAACAGTAAGTCAACCACGTTTAAAGCTTTCAGATGTTATTGTCAATTGCAGTCAAGTTATGCAGTTTGACTTGTTTTAAGAGGGTTGTTTAGGGACTGTTCGGTATTTATGGAAAGGTCCAACGGAGGAAAATAGGGGAGGGTCATGTCTTTTTATTCTTTGATGAGGGGAGGGTCATCCAACTTTTTTTAGTCTATAGGGGAGGGTCACCCAACTTTTGTATTCATCAAAACAGGTAAATTTCAAAGTGGCTTGTTTGGTGCATATTTTTCCATGTAGCTCTCTCGGTGCATCAGAAAAATAATGTGCGCTGTAGCACGATACGACCATATTTTAGTTTCCATTCTTATTGCATTTCCAGAACAGTGTTAGTGAGTAAATCTAAGCTGTAGGCTTGAATTTGTGAGGTGTGTGCGCTGTGCGGTTGAATGAGCCGGTTTGTCGATCTATCTGAATTTCGATCAATCAGGAGCTGATGAAATCCACAGAAGAAAGACGAAAATGGCCGTGAATTTGGACTATTGAAAGGGAAGCATACTACTTTATTATGATTTTAGTATCATAATGATTAATAAATGCATGCACAATTATGAGTGAACTTGATAAATGTTGCAGATATGTTTTACTATGCACAAAATGCCTTGAAAACTTGAGCGCAAAATTGCATGTTACATAAACCACTGCATCAGCACCGAAAACACGATTTTTTTTTTTTTTTAAACTTCAAATCAAAACTCGTGATACGAACCGAATTGTAGGTTTGGTCTATCGTTATAGCCCTAGTAAGATGAGAAAGCAGGAGTTTAGTCGTTTTATGGCTATCTGAACATCTTTGCCAAGCGCAAACCAGTACAGAAGTAATCAATACATTTTTTCACAATCATTTTGGAGGGTGATAGAAAAAAATATTGCTGGCGAGAGGAGGGTCAAGTCTTTTTTGACTACAGATCTCAAATCTCCTCCGGTGGCCCCTTAAATAAATAACGAACAGTCCCTTAGACTCTTACCGAGTCGAGTACCAATATAGCCACTAAGATTCTCACCCCAAGGCGTCACCTAACTGGGAAGCCATTTTTACCATGCTTCAATATATGACGCTTTAGGTGCCCTTTAGCGTCAGTTAGATGACGCCCTAGGATCGCGTGTAACCCTACCCATACCCCAGACCTAAACCTACCCGCGTCATCTAACTGACGCTTTCCTTTAGCGTCAGTTAGATGACGCCGTAGGATCGCGTCATGTAACTGACGCTAAAGGGCGCCTAAAGCGTCAAATATTGAAGCATGGTCAAAGGTGATGCCTTGGGGTGAGAATGCATTGCTAAGATATGAATATGTTTGATGACTGTCCCACAGGCTCCTTCACGGGTGAGAGCGCAGGACAGCGGAGAACCTGTTTGCCGACTGCAGGTGACGGATAGAGACAGCAGAGGATCTGCAGCGTGGAGAGCACGATACTCTCTCCATGGTGAGGAAGCACAGCACTTCAAGATTCAGACTGAGCCGGACACCAATGATGGAGTCGTAACCGTCTCGGAGGTAAGACTGGATTTGGCTCATTGTCAGGAAAAACATTTGTGTCCCAATTGCACTTTTTTTTTTAATAAAATAAAATAATGTTCCTAGACCATTTCTAGTCTGGATCCAGTGTGCACAACTGACCTTTTTATTTTTTGGCTCTATGCACCTGAACCAAAAAGATTATTACAGGGTCTATTTGGTGTGCATTTTTTCACTTGTTGTCATTATCACTAACCAACACAATCATTTTTTTAATGTTTTTTTTAAAGGTGGAAAATCAGCCTGTTTGCAATCTATCACCATTATATTTTAATTGGTTCAATTAAATTGAAAAAATCAGCTTAGATTTTTCTTTTATCAAAATGAATACCTTGCGTTCGTTCTCTGTGTAGTTCTAGGTGAAATTCTTTGTCAAAATTTGTCTTCATCCCTACACTTTTATTTCAACCCTGTTATGCCATGGCATTTTCCCCTTTAAAAATGATAGTACTACAAATACACCTTTCTTGGAATGTCTTTTTTTTCCAGAAAAAAATACGTCTTAAACTATTTTTTATCATCCTGCCCATGTGAAAAAAGTGTGCTTAATTGTTTTGAATGTGCACTTGTGGTCACTTTAAATCTGAACACAAACAGTATATATTTTGAAACTCTTGAGATAGTATATCAATGAAATAAAAGGCTGTTTAAATGCACAGTTAAGAGCACTTTGATGTATGTTTTTTTCAAGTGCACTTTGTAATAAAGTCTAATTAAAGGTTTTACTTTAAAGTACATTTTAAATCAGTGTTTTAGGAAATGAGTGCACTTATTGTGATGTTGACTAACGTTGAAGCACATTTAAAGTTCATATATTTTAATGTAATAACTGCAACTTCATTACTACAGAGTGTAATTACAAATATATTTAAAAAAACATCACATACCAGTGTCAATATAAATGACAGTAAAGTATATTTTAGTTTACAATAAATGCTTGTCATTTCATTCAGCAGTAACTTTAACCATATTTCAGAAACAATTACACAGAAATAATTAAATTACATATATCAATGTACTTTATTCCAACTAAAGTGGGTCAAAAAGTATAACATCAAATAGTTGCATCTAATATAAATTTAAATATTAATAAGTATATTTATATACACTTACATTTCAAGTATATTAATTTACAGTATATTATTTCTGTAATAAGTGTTGTCTTTTTCACAAGGGCCGTCAAGCTCCGTTTTAACTATCACTGTGATCATTTTTGTGCAGTTTCATTTTCACTTTACCAAAGTAGCTACAGGAGTTCTACCTGTAAATAATGTGTTTTGGTATTTTATGTGTCCCAGTAAACCCCAAAATATTTTGAATGTAACTGGGTTGGCACAAAACATGTTTTTGAATGCTTAAAATATTTTATTTCAATTATGTGACCCCCAACACAGCCTTTGAAATATGAAGAATGGTCCAACTTGAGCCTGACTGTCATTGTGGAGAACGAGGAGCCCTTCTTCTACTGTAGAGTCACAGGACGTCCCAAACACGGACTGTGGAATGTACAATACTCCAGAGGAAACTCCAGGTCCACATCAGCATCCCTTCTCATCACCAAAATTAAGAAAGATGACATCAGTGAGCCTTCAGTGTTTTTGAAGATGGTGAAACATGTGGAGAGACTGGAGGCTGGACCGATCCTGGAGGCCAACAAATTGGCAATGTGTCTGTCTCAGAAGAATACTAAGATCACAGCTGTGGACCCGGACCTGTACAGTCCACTTTGAGCTGATGGGGGATGTTGAGGGGCAATGGAGGCTTCATTCTGACTATGGTATCAGAAAAATACTCATCTTGTTTAAAATTGTAATAAAGCGCAATAATTCTAGTTTGTTCATTTAAATAATCATGTTTAACAACTGAATTCATGGTGAAATATGCCATTACCCATGATTCTGTGCATGAAATCACCAGAAATCAGTCACAACAAGCAAACTGTGGCAAAGGAGCTCTTTAACTATGTATATTAGGGATGGGACAAAGTAGCGATAGGGCGATTTAACGTTCTCCTTCTCCATGCAATATAAGATAATCGATTCTCTGTTGCCAAATTTCGATATTTTAATTAATAAAATAAGGCGTATTTTATAATAAAATAAATCTAAATAGATTTCCCCGCTCCCAGCTTCACTACTTCATGGCTCCTCGAGGTGGCGCTCAACACGTGAAGGAGGGAAACGTCTCAGGTTACGTATGTAACCCTGGTTCCCTGAGAGGGAACGAGAGCTGCGTTTGGAACGCGGTGGGAACGCTCTGCGTGATTGCGTCGTGAAGCACGTGTATAATCTGTCCAATGGAAGAACAAGACGTCATGGGCGATGACGTCATGACCAGGAAAACTATAAAGCACCCCAGAAAATAGACCGCATCAGCTTCTGAAAAGGCCTGAAGCAAGTCGATCACAGGCATGCAGGAAGTATGGCAGGCAAACGCAGCTCTCGTTCCCTCTCAGGGAACCAGGGTTACATACGTAACCTGAGACGTTCCCTTTCAAGGGAACTCAAGCTGCGTTTGGAACGCGGTGGGAACTCCATACCCACGACGCCATATGACAAATGCCTGTACTGTATGAAATAGAATAGCACACTAAGACACAAGCACCCTAGACCCTGGAGTGGAGCCTAGGTCCAAGTCATAAAAACGAACAAATGTATGCGGTGAGGACCAACCTGCCGCACTACAAATATCGTGCAACGAAACCCCAGATAATAAGGCTTTAGAGGCCGCCATACTCCTAGTCGAGTGGGCGCGGACAGCCAAAGGTGAAGGCTGACCGGCCGCTTCGTAAGCAAGTGTAATAGCCTCAACTACCCACTTGCTCATAACCTGCTTGGAGGCAGGGCAACCTCTCTTAGTTGACCCGAAACAGACAAACAATTGATCTGATTTACGCCACAGGGAAGATCTGTGGACATAAGCATCCAAAGCCCGAACAGGGCACAGCAGATTAAGCTTTTCCTGATCAGGAGAGAGAAAAGGTGGAGGACAAAAGGCCTGCAGAACCATAGGACCCGACACATTAGTGGGTACTTTAGGAATATAACCTGGCCTAGGGTGAAGAAAAGCTTTAACCATGCCAGGAGCAAACTCCAAGCACGAAGGGGCAACTGAAAGGGCTTGTAAATCACCTATCCTCTTAATAGAAGAAATAGCAATGAGAAACAAAGTCTTAAATGTGAGGAACTTTTCCGAAATCTCCTCAATGGGCTCAAAGGGAGCCAAAGCCAAGCCTTCCAGTACCACGGCCAAATCCCAGGCCGGTGTTCTCGTGCGCTGAGCAGGCCTAAGCCTCAAAGTGCCACGGAGAAACCGAACAATGAGGGGATCTCTCCCCAAAGATAAACCACCCAAAGGAGAGTGGTGGGCAGAAATAGCCACCACATACACCTTCAAAGTGGATGGGGATAATCCAGCAGAAAACCGTTCTTGCAAAAAATCAAGTACTGTACCAATCGGGCAGCTAACAGGATTACAATTGCGTTCTACACACCAAGTAGAGAACAGTTTCCATTTCAAAGCGTACAGTCTTCTCGTGGAGGGAGCTCTAGATTGGAGTATGGTCTCCACGACCTCAGTCGAGAGACCTGACTCTATGAGCTGACTCTAAAACCACATTTGACAATGAGTTGAATCTAAAGATGCGAAAAGGTCTAACTGAGCACGACCAAATTTCTCCCACAGGAGTTCCACCACCTCGGGGTGAAGTCTCCACTCCCCGGGCCTCAGCCCCTGCCTTGACAGGATATCTGCTCCCTGATTCAGATGCCCTGGAATAAAAACTGCCCTGAGAGACAATAATTTCCCTTGGGCCCACAGAAGGATCTGATGAGCCAACTTGCAGAGGTGACGTGACCTCAGACCCCCCTGATGGTTTATGTACGAGACCACCGATGTATTGTCCGTGCGGACAAGCACATGGTGGCCTCTCAGGTCTGGCAGGAAGTGCTTGAGAGCTAGAAACACCGCCATCATTTCCAAACGATTTATGTGCCAGGAAACCTGATGGTCCTGCCAAAGACCTCTCGCCGAGCGACCACTCATGATCGCCCCCCACCCTGTGAGGGAAGCATCCGTCGAAAGCAAAACGCGTCGACAATAAGCCCCCAACACTGGGCCCTGGGCGAGGAACCAAGGTTTGCTCCACATGACCAAGGCACGAAGGCAGCGCCGCGTGACCTTGATCAAGCGAAATGGATTTCCCCTCGGGGAAAACCCCTTGGTCCTGAGCCACCACTGCAGGGGTCTCATGTACAGAAGGCCAAAAGTGATAACGTTGGACGCAGCTGCCATGAGACCCAACAGTCTTTGAAACTGTTTCACAGTGAGTGACCGGCCTAGTTTCACCCCTTTTACGGCTGAGAGAATCGATGAAATACGTGCTGGAGACAACTGTGCCCGCATCGTTGTCGAATCCCATACCACACCCAGAAAGTTCGTCCTCTGAGATGGGAGGAGAACACTCTTCTTGGCGTTGAGCCTCAGCCCTAGCCGTTTCAAATGGGACAGAACGGCATCTCGATGCCGAACTGCCATCTGCTCTGAGTGAGCTAAAATCAGCCAATCGTCGATGTAATTTAACACACGGATACCCTGGAATCTGAGAGGAGCCAGGGCTGCATCCATGCATTTCGTGAAAGTGCGGGGTGATAACCCTAGGCCGAACGGAAGAACCCGATATTGGTATGCTTCGCCCCCGAAAGCGAACCTCAGGAACTTCCTGTGATGAGGATGGATGGAAATATGAAAATAAGCGTCCTTCAAGTCTATCGTCACAAACCAGTCCTCGGACTGAATCTGTGACACTATCTGTTTGAGTGTAAGCATCTTGAACTTGAGTTTCTGAACTGAGTGGTTTAAAAGACGCAGGTCTAGAATAGGACGTAACCCCCCATCCTTTTTTGGAACAATAAAGTAGCGGCTGTAAAACCCTGACTCTCTGCTGGGAGGAGGAACCCTCTCTATAGCTCCTTTTTGCAGAAGTGTCAGTACTTCCTGCTCCATGACCAGAGCCTGCTCGGAATTCACCACGGTGGGAAGAACCCCTATAAACCTGGGCGGACGAAAACCGAACTGAATTCTGTAACCCGATTGTATAATCTGCAGGACCCAATGAGATACATTTGGCAGAAGTTTCCACGCTGCCAAAAAATCTACTAAGGGTACCAGTCTCTCGAGACTGGCCTCTGGATTTAATTGAAGAGCCACTTCGGTGCCCTGAAGCAGATAACCGGCAGGGAACAACCGACTTGACTGTTCTACGACCCTCCTCGGAGGATCGTCTGGGGACACCGGCAGGGAACAACCGAACTGACGGCGCTGCGACTCCCCTCAGAGAGTCGCCCCCCGGAGGGCGCAGAGGAAAAACGATTCCTCGAAACCGTTTCTCCCCGGAGGGGACCACCCTCAGAAGCCTGACAGCCTTGGCGTCAGGACTTCTTCTTAGCCGAAGCTTTCTTAGAGACAATGACAGTCCTCAGATCTGGCCTGTCTCTAATAGGCTTCGACTGCGAACGCCAGCCCGGCCCCCCCCCCTCCCCTTTGCCTGAGGAGGAGCCCGAGAAGCGACGCTTTCTTTCTGCTGTACTCTGTACTGCGAGGAGCTCGTAGTCGGCCGAGACTGATCAGAACGCCCAGCAGTCTCAGGGATATTAGATCGGCGAGGAAGAAACTTCTGGAATGCTGCATTTTGTTTCTTAGATTCTTGAAATCTTTCAATAACTGTGTTTATAGAATCACCAAATAAACCAGAAGGTGATAGTGGAGCATCCAGAAGGACAGATCTATCTTTATCTTTTAAATCAGCTAAATTAAGCCACAGATGGCGCTCAGTAGCCACCAAAGCTGACATAGATCGATCCCACAGATTTAGCCGTCTCTTTGGTGGCACGGAGAGATAGATCCGTCGCGCGCCGTAATTCGCGAATCACGTCAGCGCTGACTTCCTCACAATCATCCAAATCCCTAAGCAGGTCGGCTTGGTACGCTTGCAAAATAGACATGGTATGCAAGCATGCCGCAGCCTGACCCGCCGCCGAATACGCTTTACCCACCAGCGCTGAAGTTGATTTTAATGGCTTGGTGGGTAATGCCGGGGCTTTGAGGGATGACGCTGACTCAGGAGAGAGATAGCTCGCGAGCGTCTCTTCAGCCTGAGGCATCGTCATATAACCCGCGTCCTTCATCCCCATAACGTTACTATAATTATGTGTCTGGGGATTAAAGACACGGAAAGACACCGGCTTTTTCCACGACCTCGACACCTCAGTGTGGAGATCGGGAAAAAACGGGAGTCCCCGGTGTGGAGGCTGCACTCTAGATGGCAAAAATCTCTCGTCTAACAAACTCTTTTTATTTCTGCAAACATCCTGCTCTCCTGTTTCTGGCCACTCAATATTTAGTCTAGAAACAGCACGAGTTAAAACCTCCATGAGCTCCTCATCTACAAGTGACTTGTGATATGATTTCGTGTGTTCATGTTCACTTGCATCAATACTGACGACATCCAATTCCTCAGAACTGGATAGTCGCAGACTTTGTGCCTCATCCCGGGGAGAAGAAACCGCAGCGCGGGCTTCTCCCTGAGATAAGGCACTAGATCCAACAGGTAAGGGCTGAGAAAGGGCAGAGCCCGTCTCAAACCCCGCTGTTAGATCCATTTGCGATCCCCAAGACGAGCGCCGACGCTGTGCCTCGGCAGCAGCGGGACCCGCGCCTCGGGGAGCGCGCA